CCATAGAACCCATGTGTCTTTTTAGATGGGGTATGTACCATTAAGGGGGTTCTTTCCCAGGTACTTGCCAATTCATAGTTGATAAATCCTGTAATAATTCAAATTACAAAAGGCACACCTCCCTTCCAGTCTGTTGCAGCTGCCCAAATGGCACTGCACCATCACTGAGCCTAATTTAATTTTGTTTGTAACCATCGTTCTGGCACATGGGCTCCAGATTTAGGGAAGTTTTGTCTCTGCATATTCCTGTTTTCTTTAAAACTGTTGGTTAATGAGATTTTTCACTCATAACCTGGTAAGTTAACATTATATATTACATGTAAATGCCAATGAGATTTTCTGGAAAATAGCAAAAATAAAACATATATATATATATATATATATGTGTGTGTGTGTGTGTGTGTTATATAGAGAGATTTATAAAGAATACACACAGTTATAAACTTATAAAGAATACACACATTACCATAGTGCCTTTAACCTGGATTTCCATATAAACTGTTACTTCTTACTTTAAGGAGCAGGACAACCTTCCAGTCCAAGCTGGACAGAAGTGTCCTGGTCTGGGATCCACAGATGAGTTTAATTTTTAGATGGTGTATTACCCAATAATTTTTATTACATCTATATGATATTTATATGCATTCAAACTTTTAGCAACTAAATAAATTAAACAACAAAATAAACAACACAAAACAGACAAGACAATGTTCGTTGTTGTGGAAAAAACATAACTTATGTGAAGAAGATGCTGTTGCTGATACTGAGGCCTCATAGTATATCAGTAACCTTTGTTACTCGGTTGCTGACATGATGGTTTCTGCAAAAGAAAATACACACACCCTGCCAATGAAAATTCCTTGCAGCAAAATATTATTCATATTTATAAATTTACAGTACAGATATTATTGTAATTCTGGGGGGGTGGGGGAGAACATATATATACACGTATACATGTACATATTAAATGAGGATAAAACAATGCTGTTGGTTTTTAAAAAATATAAATTCAAAATTATACCAGCACTTTTGTGCCAAGGAAATAATCAAAAAACTATATTAGCCAAATTTAATACTAAAAATCAGTTTACCCCTTCTGCTATCACTGCTGGAATTGTAGGGTATTTTGCTATATCAGGAGCTATGACAGTTATTATTTCATTCAAAGCTTTGAAGTTCATTGTTTGTTTCTAAGTTCTTGTTTGTTCTTAAAATGGACCAAAATGAAAGACTTATCTATACTAAACATTTATATTTTTTTAACTTAAATTATCTAGTAGGAATTAGAATTTTATTTTACCCCATAGTGAATTTTACACTCATTTTGTGAGGAGGAAGTTTCATGCTTTATTTAAAACACATGCTGGTATCTTGCTGTATTTTAACTTTTTTTCTGCCAGACTTTAGGAAAGGTCTTTATTTGATTGTTTTGATTAACTGTACTGATTACTCAATAATAGCAAAAGCTTTCATAGCTGCTAACACTTTTCTTTTTAGAATATTGACACTATACCCACACTATTTTTAGATCTATCTTGTCCCATTACCAATGAGAGTGCACACATTCATACTTTTGACAGTCTCTGCCTTACACTGTAGGCACAGAGCAAACACATAACACTGTTTACACTCTCTGTTTTACATAAATAGCGTAATAATTGCTGTAATGCAGCCCATTTTTTTTTATAGGCTTCATTTTTATTATAAACATTTACATAGTTTTTTAGCACAGAGTCTTCTCTACTACTGACTTCCCATCAAACCAGCGATGGAAGGTATTATACTTAACCACAGCGTGATGGCAGGTATTCTGCATTAGGTTATGACTTAGAGCAGTTTTTGTTTTCCTTAAGTTTCATTTTTAATCTTCCTTTTCCTGCCCCCTCTTGTACCTACAGTGTTAATTTCTTTAGTGCCCTTTTAGTTTAAACACATTTTACATTTCTTTTTGTATAATAACTACCTTACTGTTTTCATTTTTCTCTTTTTTTAAATGGCACTTTTCTGGGGAAAAACAGGTCCAGTTTTAACACTGTGTCACTAATCTATTTTTTACACTGGGGGAAGTGCTGCAAAACCTTTTGGATTCATTCGTTTTTTTACATTAATTAATCAAATTACCACAACATAGTGGTTTCCTTTTCTTGGAAATTACTGTCGCTGTGCCTCATAAGGCTGTAGCAGTCTATAGTGCTTCTGCAGTTACACCAGAGACCTGCACTTTATATTTATTCATCTTTTTTCTTAAATTACTTCTTTTTAAAAATATATATAGTTCAGCTCTCTCTCTTTCTTTTGTGATTCTGAACTAAATTTGTATAGTACTTTGCAGCCTTTCAGAAAATTAAAACAGCTTCTGTTTTCTTTTAGTTCTTAGTTACTTTTGGTTTGGTGGTAGTAACCAGAACATTACATGCCTTGTAAGCCTGCTTCAAGGTGTCATGTCTCTGAAAGGCACTCGGACTCCAGGGACAGGTACCTTTTTCTTGGACCCACTGTTTTAACAGGGTTGATTCCTCTACCAACGGCTGGTTCCTATACTCCCTGAAAAGTCTTAGTTATAAACCACATCCACTTCCATTCTTTTAAAATTTGTTGGTGTCAAGCCGCACAACTCTTTCTCCCTTCTGACAACTTACCAATTCCACCTGCCCTGAGCTTGCTAGTTTCTACTCGTGCCAAACTTCTATTTCTAGCCTTGCCGGTCACAACCTCACACAAACTTTCCTACATTATGCCTGTCACCGAGACTGGACTTTGAACCCACACAGCTGGTCACAAAACTACTCAACTTCCTCACATACACTAAGCCTATCGCTGCAGAACAGGAAAAACCAAATGCTATATTTTGCTTCTGAGTGAGTCGGTCCCCAACTGCTGCAAGCTGTTCTGAGCCTTGAAACCCGCCGGCCCTAGACCACATCGAGTTTTGCACCTGTGAGTCTGCTGGTCCTGGGCCACGTCAAGCTAAGTCTGCCAGTTCTCAACTGCATCAAGCTGTTTGCCTTTAAGCTTTTTTGACCCTTGGTCACTCAAAAGCTTTTCACTTTTACCAGTATCGGAGAAAAAGCCTAAAATTTTTCTCTTATTCCTTGGCATCTACGGCCGAGGGGTGTGCACACCAAACATCAACAGACAAACATTGATGACTATAATATTACTAATAATAACAGACATCGATAACTGCGGCATCTGCCATCTCCCTTTTGCGTTCTCCACCAATTAAATGTTGTGCATACAGCATTACCAGATTTGCCCGTCATGTTGGGGTGTGCTCATTTATTAGGGGTATGTTTCTGGGGGTCACTGTAATTCTATCAATGTGCTGCTTGTGTTATTTGTGTTTCTATATGGAGCTGCATCTCTCCCTTCTGCAAGTCCTCACCCTCAATGGAGCTATCTTGCAGGACTCAGTTTCAATGGGGCTGGGTTTCCCCAACCGCCGAATCAGTCAAACACACACATGCATATACACACACAGACCAACAGGACACGCCTAAGCCAGGCTGGGTTATTTAGCATTGACAGGCGAACACCCTCATATGCCTTGAACTCTGTTCATCAGGGCAACAATAAATGCAGTCAGACACAAGCACACGGGTTAACAGGGCGCATCTGAGTCAGGCCGGACTATTCAGCATTGATAGGCTGACACCCTCATGTGCCTTGAACTCAGTTCATCCCTTATTTCAGCAG